TGACCTTGAGGTTCACAGCCCTATTCTTAATTTAAAGTTAAATTCCTGTCCTATAAGGTAGGTTTATAAAATAATTCAGTCCTGATGTGGTGCTGTGGGCTAATGCATTGGACTGCGAAGTCGTTTGAACCACAAGCTTGGTTGTTCAAACTCAGCCGCTCCTTGGAAATCCTGTACAGGGTCTCTGTGTGTCGGAACTGACTTAATGATGTTTAACAACAACAACATCATCATATTTTAAGCATGGTTCATTAAACTTTATGAGACAATCACCATTTAAAGTTGTGTTGCTTCAGAATAGCTCTCCTCCTATTCTCCCAGACCTGATAGACCTGTCCCCAGGCATCAAACTTCAGGTGTTCCAGTTGTTACTTCCCAGAAACAGGAAGAAAGGAAAGGACCTGTTTCCTTTCCGAGTAGCTGCTCAGGCTATTTCTTTACTATCTTTATACCCTAGCTCAGGTGTCAAGTGTTTCTGATACTTCTTTCTCCTTTTCTTTTATCATCAGTAGGAAAAACACTGGAAAGTGTTTGGGCCTCAGCTGAAGGGTGAGGACCTAACATCAGTGTTCATAACTGAGTGTCTGATATGCAGTGTAACGCTCTTTATTGTGTAGAGTGTAATTTGGCATTAGATAATATAGCTTAATTTCTTGACCTTTTTATATACCCTTTGAAATCTATACATTATTGATGTGTTTATAGGCTTGAGCTTCATTCATAGCAGTTAACTTGGAATAGATATTAAGCAGCATGTCCTTTATCACTTAGGATGCATACTGGATAGCGATGAATAGTTCTCTGAAATGTAAAACCCTCAGCGACATCTTTCTACTTTTTAAGAGTTCTGATTTCATCACTCGTGACTTCACTCAACCGTAAGTATGTCTGTTGTTTTCCCATGCCAACAGTTTTAGAACTTGTACAAATTTTTCCACAGGTGAAATTATAGTACTGTTATAGACAGTGGTTTCATAGGACAACTCTTTTCATGTTCCCAAAATAGCTTTTAAGGCAACTTTTTTTCTTTTAATGTAAATGCTTTGAAATAAGTATTCCTTTGTATCAAGTACTTTACGTATCTCTCTGTGTTAAATAACTTAGTAATTTTAAAAATTATTATTATAAAACCAACATGTTTTTACTATAGAAAAACATAATTAAGGGTCTATAGGTAAACAAAACCAGATAATGTAAAAGTACCCATAATCTTAACCACAAATACGTACTTCTAGAGTTCTTTCTATGCATAAGTATAATATAGATATACTTGTCTCTAACCATCTACATAAATTAAAAACAAAACATGGGATCGTGTACGTCCTACAACTTAGCAGGCTGCTTTTGCGCTTACCAGTATGTAGTGAGTATCTTTTTGTGTTGTTGGTAGGTGCCATCGAGTCGGTACCAACTCATAGCAACCCTATGCACAATAGAACTAAACACTGCCTGGTCCTGGGCCACCCTCACAATTGTTGGCCATGCTTGAACCTGTTGTTGCTGCTACTTTGCTGGTCCATCTCGCTAGGGGTCTTCCTCTTTTTCTCTGACCCTCCACCTTACCAAACATGATATCCTTCCCCAGTGACTGATCCCTCCTGACAATATGTCCAAAGTATGAATGACAAAGTCTGGCCATCCTGACTCCCAAGGAGCACTGTGGCTGTACTTCATCCAACCCAGATCTGTTTGTTCTTTTGGCAGTTCATGGTATTTTCAATATTCTCCAACACCGCAACTCAAATGCATCAATTCTTCTATGATCAACCTTATTCACTGTCCAACTTTCACATGCATATGAGGTTATTGAAAATACCATGAGTTGAGTCAGGTACACCTTATTCCTCAAACTGACGTCTTTGCTCTGCAACACTTTAAAAAGGTCTTGTCTAGCAGTGAATACCTTTGTATGTCATTAAATACCTACAGCCATCATCTTCCTCGTTACCATAAGCATATACACTATACAACTACCGCATAATTTATTTGACTAATCCTCTATTCTTGGGCATATAAGCTAGTTCCTAGCTTTCAGTATTGTGGAGCTACATCTTTGTGTGCTTTCCTAATTATTTCCTTAGGAGGTATTTCTAGAAGTGGAATAGTTGTGTTTTCTTTCTTTGCCAATTACTCTGTAGCTACAGAACTATAGAGTTCTTATAATGCCTATAATGCAGATGAAACACCGACAATGCTCTTTATGCTTCTTTTGTTCTGTCATCAAATAATAATGATTTTTCTATACTCCTCATTCTTTCCTATCTTAAATAAACTCAGTTATCTCATTTAAACTAATCTTTTAATTGACATCTAACACAACAAAATTTAGAAGCTAAGCAGGAGACCACGGTAAAAGATTGCATGTGCATGCTACTCCTTTCTCTCCATACAGTATAGGTTTGCAGTGGAACCTGACATAAATAGATAAATTCACTACTTGATATTTGTCCAACAACTCTTTTATATAGGCATATGATTTCAGTCTATACAGGCAACCCCCAGGTTATGAACATTGGACTTAAGAAAAATCCTATTTGCCCTTTAATGTATGTGAGTTTGCCCTTGCTGTGAAATGATTGAACCAACCAGTACTTGCAACAAAGTTTTGATCATAATCACCTTAAATTGCTTTGCTGCATGGGAAGCTTTTAAAATCACTGAGATGACTCCAAGCTTTTTCTTGCACTAAAACAGGGGTGGGGAGCATCTGGCTCTTGGGCCCTATAAGGCCCATGAAATAATTTGGTCTGGCTTTGCCAAGGCAACTGCAGTTCCAGCCATCACTTTAGTGGTGAGTTAACTAAATGTTTCATCAAATAACAGGCTAATTTTAAGTTGATAATTTTGTAAAGCCCACAAATGTTTATAGATTTTGTAGACTATGTTGTGCCACTTGGCCATGGTGTCTCCTAAGATTATGGTCTCTGACACAGATTTTTACCTACCTTTAGTATTAGTTTCAGTGAGAATATGTGGACATCATTGTCTTTATGAAAATTAAGTATAAGTCATTGTTAATTCTCTTAAGCTGATGGTTTAATTTTTAATTTTCAAATTATCTTTGTAATTTAGCTACTTGCTGTCTTTATAACCCACTTTTCCTATTTTGTCTTATATCAGGTTAACTACTCTTCCAGTGATGAGTAGAAATACCAATCAGTTGTTTTGTACTCTTTGAATTTTGTGTGGAGAGGAAGTTAAATCAGCAACTGAATTTGAAGCTTTGAATTACGAGTGTTTGCCCACCAAATGCCATCCTCCTAGTATAATTAATTGGAAGTTGGCAGGAGCAAATAACAGCTTTTTAACTAGGCACCACTAATTTATCATCCTTTTCTAAAAATATTTGTTGGTAGTCAGTTGCATAGCATTAAGTCACTTCCAGAGAAAGGAGTCTTGTCATCACGCAAAATGTCTTTATTGATAGAAGTCATTAAGGGGCAATTTTTGTCACAAAGGCTTAATTAGGAACTTTTGCAATGTGAAGCTGAGAGTATTATATCTTAGATTGTTGCAGGATCTTATTGATGGTTTAATTTAACCCATTTATTCTATAGGATATAAAGTTGAATTCTAAGTTTATTCAAGATCCCACAGCTAATTCATTGCTGTTGAGTTGATTCTGACTCATAGCAGCCCTGTATAGGGTTTCCGAGGAATGGCTGGTAGATTTGAACTGTCATCCTTGCAGTTAGCAGTCCTGTAGTGACACACCAGCATTCATAGCTAATTCATTAGTAGAACCAATACCAGATTATGAACAAGCAGTAATGCAATTCTGAAAGGTCTTTTTACTTTCAGTTAGTAAAGTCATGACTTTTTCCTTTTCAAAATGCTTAAAATTAAAATTTGTATTATAAAAAAGGGGTTTCGTTGTTTATACTATTTTGACTCTTGACTTGCAGAACAGAAACAAAAATGCTACAGTCCCAATGGCAAATTAACAGAAGATCACATAGTTTACTGGTATGGAGTTTTACATGTCTGTGTTATTTAACAAGGAGGCTGGAGGTTGGATAGTCTAAGAGTTAATCATCCTTTTACAAAGATCACCAACCCAGCATCTTTCAGTCTTTCTCTTCTGCCATCCTCAATTTATTGGCTTGAACTCTGACAATTTGTGCAGCAAAAATAGGAGACACCGGGGCCATATGAAACATGGCAATGTCTGCACCAAAAATAGACATGGGTTTATTTCCTCCCATTCATCTCTTTATAGGATTGAGTAAAGCATTCCTGGAAGCTTCCCAGGAGACTTCTCCACAGGCCTCATTAGTTATACTAATAGTTGCCCAGCCTAATCCAGGGGCTGATTGGAACAGAATTGTCATGCTTGATATAGACCAGGGATTCTTAAACTTGAGCATATGTCAAAATCACCTGGAGATTACTAGGCCCCATTCCTAGAGTTTCTGATTTGTGGGCATGAAGTTGTTAAGTGCTGTTGAGTCAGTTCTGACCCTTAGTGACCCTGTATAAGGTTTCCAAAGAGCAGCTGGTGAGCTTGAACTGCCG